TTCACTTGGTATTTTGAGCTATAAAACCACCCGTAATTGAATAAATGTTAAGTACACCTGCTTAATGTCACACTGTGCAACATTCCAGGCAGAGCAATGACGTATCCATAGAAACAAGCAGGTGATGAACCCCTAATCAAAAAGTTACACAGTGCACCTTTAAATCTCTACTAAAAACACACCTTTTCTCATTGCCATTTGATACAAGTTAGAGACACATCCCGGTTTCATATTATACTGTATTTGTTGTTTATTTTTTAATCTTTTAATTTGATAAGCTTTGGCAGTTTCAAATGTACTTCATAAATAAAGTTAATTTGATTTGTTATAGAATACTGTATCTGTGTGTGTAACCAATCCTCCAGCATAGGATCCTGCCGTATATTCCCTATCTGCTGGAACATAAGACCAGTTGCATATTAACTCCCTCCTCACAATGGAATTAATGCAATCATTCATTTATTATTCATGGCTCCTCTTACATTATTCTTACCACCGGGGGACGCCATCTTGTTCACCGGCACCGACAAAGCATGACCTTGTGAAAAAGAACAGGGAAATTCCCATTAAGATTTAACACCAATTATGGTTTGAAATAGCGCCCGTATATTGGTAAGGACTAGCCGTCAGCGGGCGCAAAGTCGTCTGGAATTATGGGATTTATGGAGAAAAGGAGGAGAGCAGAGGCTTCTCTTCAGACCGCAGATAATTTTTCATGTTTGCTAATGTAAATCGAGCTGTCCGAGATTATTACAATTGGAAAGGAGGCGTATATTTCTGTGCGCTCAAATTTGCATTCATTTCGAGAATTGGATAAAAGTGATATCTGGTGGTAACCGATGGCGACACCTGTGATTGTCAAACTTTTCACATCCAGGTGAGAGAAGGTTCAGTTGTGCAAATCTGTATTCAGTGTTTATTCATCCTTCACTGTTGCTGGGGTAACTTTTTCTGGTTGGTTAATTGGCAAATTTCATATTAGGGGTGTGCAAAAATATCGTAATATCAATATATCGTGATGCTAAATTGTGTGATACAGTAGTGTTATCGTGGTCTGCTGTATCGATATACCACTAAGAGCATTTTTTGATATCTGTAGCAGTTCTTTTTTTGTGACTGTGCCAACATTTTGTTGCTTACTTAGTGGAAGGAAACTTGTTTATGCAATACACTTGACATATTCACTGCTTCGATGATTAAAATAGATTCATATGTAACTTTGTATTGTATTGAATCGCGAGGGACCCTGTGAATCCCTAGCCAGGCTGGGGCCAACTAGTGCCTCCTCTCAATTTCATTTCTCTCCAGCGACTAGGTCAGGAATCTGAATAGACTAAACAGTTCTGCAAAAACCCCGGAAGTGCGAGTTTGGGCACCAGCCAATCAGCACAGAGCCATATATTTTGCGTTGACAACAATTCCTGAAATTGAGAATTTAAGGCTGGAATGAAGAGAATGTTTGGTGAATTTTATCAAAGAGAAAGACTTTATTGCCCTTCGTCCTACAGGATTTTGGAAAAGCTTAATATACCAGTTAGCCCCTTTAGCGGCGCATTACATACATCACGACCAAATAGCAGCAATTGGTTAAATAAAAATAAGTACCCACCTACTGTCGAGCAAACAAATCCTAACGCTGCAAGGTTAGATAGTTTCCACGAAGTGAAACCGGCTGATGAATCAGGCTAGTGAATCCCAGCCCGACATCATATGACACCAGTGAAAGGATGACATTTTCTCAGACCTGTGTGTCCAAAGTTCCATTATGGGACAGTGTGTGTAAACTCATGATTTGGAATTAAAATAAATTAAACTTCTACTTAGAAGTAAAACACAGACTGATGTAGACCTGGTTTGGTCCTTTTCTAGTCCTGGCCTGGATACGTTCACAATCACACATTCATCCCATCAAATTTGGGACTTAATCTGAAAGGAAATGTGGTCTAGGCAAGGACTAGAATAAGACCAATACCAAACCAAGTCCAGGACTAAATTTGGCTCTATTTAGGACCAAAGATCAACAAGTGTGAACGCAGCCTAAATCTGTTGTAGTCCTGGTTTAGTTCCAGTTTTGCAGTTCATGTGTATGTGAATACCATTTTTCAACTACTGGATTGGCACTAGTCACTGAGACTGTCAATAAGAATTTAAAGCAAATGAATAAGAAAAGTCTAAATCTGAAATGTATGTTTTGCTAAAGAATTGGGGCTGTGTTTGATTCACTTTTTAATATCAGTTTGTTTATTGCAGTGCGCTGCTCTGTGTAGGCCCTCTGCTCCGAATGTCCTGATGCATAAAATTACCAACCGTTTTGTATCAGCGCCACCCACCTCACAGCCAACCACTGTACCACATCTAATCACCCAAGTGTCAGACCATAAAACCCAATACAACCCAGTATTAAACAACACATATTATACACACATACACACCATATACACATATTATACAAAACTTTTTTGAACTTGTAACCATGTTATTATATTGTTCCCTCATCAAAAACATACCAGGATTTGTCCTTTATGTCCTTTATGCTGGTTTCAGTAATCCTCTGTAAAAAGTCCTTTGTCTCTGAGCCCCAAACGCTCATTTGAAATTTCACGTCACAGATGGGAGGCTTGCACAGTCTTAAGCAATTATTTGAACATGTCCAAACATGTTTGTCATTTCCTAGTTTAATTGTTTATGCTGTGGCCAAAGCCAAAATAATGAATAAATAAGCATGAATAATAATAAATACATTTAGAACTGCACTCACACCAAAACACTGCATAATACTGCAAACCACAACCTCAGAATCCCGCAAAGCACCAGTTGCACATCCACTTTGAGAACTCCAGTAGCCTAAAATGACTAACTTTGCAGCATAATGAAATAAATCCCTCTCCAATCCTTACAGGAGTCTTCTCTGTGATAAGCAGCTTCATGTCTGACAGATGAAGCTCATAAGTGTGTGTCAGGAGCGGTTCATCTGAGCTCTACATAATGTGAAGCTGCTCCTGCTGATGGCCCATTGTTGAGGATAGGTTCAGAGCGGGGCCTGTGTTCTCTCCAAACAGGGGCACCGCAGTAATTGGGGTTAATTTGTATTTGTGAATGGCTCCGTGCAGGTGGGGGACTGCCTCTCTCTGTCTCTGTCTGTGGCTTACATTGAATTAATGTCACATATATCTCATTGACTTTTAAAATGTATTGTGGATCTGTCAAGCTTATGTAAAAAACGTCGGTCTGAAATGTTTCTTTATCTGGCCCTCTGTGAAAAATTTGGACACTGCTACTTTAAACTATTTGTTGTAGTCTCACATAACGCCTCTAGATGGTATCTATGTTACTGCTGTCTGATAGTGAGCCAGTTTTAGTCTGACAGAAGACTATAGAGCGTAGCTGAGCCTGAACAAAGTCTAGGAGAAGGGGACCAGGATCAGAAAAAAAAAAAAGCAACAACAGCATTAAATAAACTTGCAGATGGTAGCTTTAAAATAATTGTTACGGTTTTGTACTTGTCTCCAAGGCAAGGCAAGTGTATTTATATATAGCACAATTCGTACACAAAGTAATTCAAAGTGCTTTACAGAATAAGAAAGACATTAAAATCGCCATAAAAAAGAAGAGTGTCGAATAAAAACCTTTCAGCCTTTTGAGCCAGGATTTAACTCTAGCACCAGTGTAGTAGGTGTTGAATAATTATAGTGTTTGATATAAACTCATTTAGCTATTTACATTCAACAATAGATGTCTTTTTTAGTAGATGAAAGAAGTTACTACCTAAATACCTCACGGTTAACACCAACTGTGTAAAAAAAAAAAAAGAGATTGAAATCATTCTGGAAATATTTATATGCATCTCCAGTCTTGTTACCTGTGGCGAAAATATTGTGCGACATAGAATAATAGCTGTGGTTATAGATGCAGTGATACAAAGTACTTAATTCAGCAAATTATCATCCATTACACGCGGCCACTCCGAGACAGGGGAGTCCATTTGTCCTGCATTTACAACAGGCTATTAAACAGAATAGGAAAGAACTCTAAAGATGGTGTTAACTGTGGTACTTTGCCTGTCATGATAACTAAATCTGAAGTATGATAGAATGCTGAATGGGGTGTGCAGAAATATCATAATGTCAATATATCGTATTGTTTAATGTGATGATACAGTATTGATAATTTTTGGTCTATTTTACAAAATTATTTAGTTACAGCGCTACAGTTTTGTTGCTTGTTTAGTGAAAAAAAACTCAATTATGCGACACATTTGACATTTTCATTGTTTTGATTATTAAAATGTTCGTGTTTCATATGAACTTTGCATAAGAAGTGGTTTACAAACACTTTTAGTATCACAGACATGATTTAGCCTTTATTTTTTATTGAACCATATCGAATTGATTTGAAATATACTGTATCGACATAAAGTGCATTGTATCGAGATATGTGTTGTATTGTGGCCAATGTATCGACGTATGTATCGTATCGGCAACTTCTTAATGATACCCAACCCTAATTCTAAAGTACATATGTATATAATAAATGACAATATTAAAACCAAAACATAAAGCAAAATTACCCCACAAAAATTCTCAATCTACAATATAGTTAAAAAACACATACTGCAATAAATAAATTACAGAATACAACAATTAAAATTAAAGGTGCATTGTGTTTCTGGTGGAGGGTCTGTCACCTTCTTCTTTCTTCAAATATTGTTTGATATAAAACCGTCCATGGCACAAAAAGGTTGGGAACCACTGTTCTAAATAACATTGGCAATATTATCAACATTTTGGTAATCTGCCCACCTGTAATCATCAGAATGCTTTAAAATCCCTCTGAGTTCAAAACTGCAATGTGTGTCTGTATTTTATGTTTACCTTTTATTTAACCAGGAAGTCCCATTTAGATTGAGAATATGTTTTCAAAAGAGAAAGGAAAAAAAAAAGAAGAAAATATAATATCTCAGTGGCTTTTCAGTGCTTGACTAGTGCCCGCTCTATCCACAGATATGAGATCCGAGACACTCACATGGTGGAGGAGAACGTGCTGCAGGTTCTGAAGGAGCGCGCCGACTTTGACAACTACAAGCCCCGCCCCTTTAACATGCGCGAGTTCTACGACCGCACGGGCCACGACATCAAGGACATGCTGCTGTCCTGCTACTTCAGAGGAACCGAGTGCAACGCCGAGGACTTCAAAGTGGTGAGTGCTTCAAAGTTTGATGTGGGGGATGATGCGTTGGTGTAATGCTTTGTGGTTGGGTTTGCAGGTTGTGGATGTTTTGAGGCGATGTCTGTTCTTGTCTCTTATAATACCGACATTTTAAACAATTTAAATACTAAGGATTCGGCTTGTTTAGTCAGTACTTGAAAATGTCAGGTTCAACATTTGTGCATTTACTTTTGGATATTTTATGATAAAATACAATATGATCAAAAGGGAAATCTGGCCCTTGCCCCCATTGGTTACATGCTGCCATTCCGACATACCGACACTCCAATATTGACGTCTAATTGTCGGAGTGGCAGCATTTCCATTTTTTATCAAACGTCCCTGCACTCCGACATTTTTTTTTCCTTGGTCAGAGCAGTTTTAACATTCAACATTCCGCCATTCCAAGGTCATTCATATGGTCATTATTAAGTTGCAGTTGGCGCTTTTTTCAGGATAATATTTTCACGGACTGGTGGCATCGGAGGAAACACAGTCATGGCATGGTTTAGTCCTGGTTTAGTCCTGGTTAATCCTGTTTTAGTCCTGGTTTAGACGTGGTTTAGCCCTGGTTAAGTCCTGATTAAGTCCTGGTTTAGACCTGGTTTAGACCGGTTTAGACTGAGTTTAGACCTGATTTAGACCTGGTTTAGAACGGGTTTAGACCGGGTTTAGTTCTGATTTAGACCTGGTTTAGTCCTGGTTAAATCCTGTTTTCGTTCTGGTCTAGTCCTGCCTTAGTTCTGACTGAGTTTAGACCAGGTTAGTTTTGATTTAGACCTGGTTTATTTCTGGTTAAATCCTGTTTTAGTCCTGGTTTAGTCCTGGATTTAGACCTGGTTTAGTCCTGATTTAGACCTGGTTTAGTCCTTGATTAAACCCTGTTTTAGTCCTGGTTTAGACTGGTTTAGACCTGGTTTAGACCTGGTTTAATCCTGGTTTAGTCCTGGTTAAGTCCTGTCTTAGTTCTGGTTTAGACATGGTTTAGACCTGGTTTAGACCTGGTTTAGTCCTGGTTTAGACATGGTTTAGAGGTGCGGTCCATGCAGTGCAAATACAAGGCAAAAAAGATGACGCTCCAAACTATGAGTAGGTTGTCAGAATGGCGACATAAAAGGTGTCGGAATGGAGGGTTGTCAGAATGAGGGAATGTCGAGGTGGGGGTCTGTCGGAATAAGGGTTGTACCTCTCCCCCATTTGAGACGCTGAAAACACCTATACTGATTTTGATACCACTATGACAATGAAAAATACTAAACTATAGACCAGGATGACCTCTTATTGGTATGAAAATATCCTAAGGTTCTTCTATCCATTTCAGCGATGGCATCACAAAAAAGTTCAGATGTTTAAGCCAAGAGAAAGACTAATTTCTCATAGTCATTCTTTTTTTTGTTGTATAAGCTCAATATAATTCTAAACTATTCAGAAAGGATAAAATTTTGCCCTGTATATGTGATTCTTTTTAGTATAGCTTCTTGCTCAGAGGAGTATATCTAGTTTCAATACTATTTTATTTTTAATACATTTGCCAATCCTCATCTGCTGTGGGTTCAGTTGAGTGAGTTTTGATACAGAAAGTGAAATATACATCCTCATTAAAAGGGACCACGGCATTTTTAAACTTGATAGTGGTACCGGTTCCAGGCCAGTGTCTGTGGAGCAACTTTCAGAATGCTCTTTGCTTCATGACCGTGCACCAACCTTTAATACAGCCAAGGGAAATTGTACTGAACATGAACAGCAATCTGAAAATGACTAATTATTGTTCTGTCACAAATGATTTCAGGGCGTAATTTGGAGAAAATAGTAGCACAATTATGATTGGAAGCATTAATAAATTAAACAAAATTTTCCCTACTGTAATTTCTTTTCACATTTGGTCTACGAACTATAGAGTTGATTTATCAGGACTTAAAATACGATATAAAACATGAAGAGGAGCATGCCAGGCTCAAACGTTAACACATATATACGTTCACCGCTTTGCTTTAAAGGTTCAATATGTAACTTTTCTGGTGGAGGTGGTACCTGCCTACCTCCATGGAGATATTATTGCTTTGTTTGGAATGTTTCACAGTATGGTATTAAATCTTTCTTATCTTAAATCCAAACCAGACCAAGTTACAGGTCAGATCTATGGAGAGGCAACTCCACTCTATCAGAATGTCTGTTTTTCCAGATATTTTTGAGCTATAAAATATAAAAATATAAAAATATAAAATAGGGCTGCTTGATTTTCACAATTATTCTGGTCTATATTGAAATCCTGATTATTCTAACTATTATTTTTTTTGTTACATGAAGCATTTATTCAGCATTTCTCTCTCAAACGCAAAATAAATATAGGCTAGAAATATGTACCTGTATAATGTATAAAACATAAAATGAATAAAATATACTTTGAACATTAAATAAGGCATAGAAAAACATAAATGTATCCAAAATAAACTATATATTCAGCTCTTCTACAAGCTCTACACTTAAAAAAATAAAATAAATATACTTAAATATCCCAAAATAAACATTGTTAAGCTTAAATCGTTTCAACTCGATTATATAAGTTTGAAGATCGTTTGACACACAAATTGAAATCGCGATCAAAATTCAATTAATTCCACAGCCTTACTATAAAAGAACCTGTAATTGAATACATGTAAGGTAGAGCTGTTTTAATGTATATTGTGGCACAACATATTTGCATTTTTGTACTTTATACACACTCTGACTAATGTTACGCAAAAGCAGCTGTACTTTCTTTGCATAATTCCTCAGATTTCAATTGGAAGCACCATACGTTTTTGCATTCACTGCTACTTTGCTTGTTTTTCTCAGCTAGAGCTTGCTTTGGGACATTGCCCGGGAGCCTTGTTGTCATCTGTTGCTCATATAGTTATTACTTGCAGCCCGTGTGACCTCCAAGCCTGTTCGCAGCTTCATCAGATTGAAGCACTGATAGAGAAGTGACCCCCTGACCCCATTGTGGAGGCATTGTGCGAAAAAAGCAGAAATTATGGTTAGAGATATGGCAACAAGAAGTGAAACGCTATCTATTTTTGGTCCAATTAGAAGAATTTAGTCTCTCGCTGAATGCTGTAGAAGATGCGTGGTGTATTTATGAGACTGACATTTAACCCACTTGGAAAATAAACCAAAACAAAAAAAAACATTGCAGGCGTTTGATATAATTGATTTAAAAGATTGTGCGAAATAATTACTTTTTTTTTTGCCTTCCCAAGACTGCATAGCGTTCTATAATATCAATATGCAAAGGTAAATGACACAATGATTGACAGCTTCACCTGCTGCCTGCTATTGGAAAAACGATTAAGTCAAGCATTGTGTGTGTCCTATGCCAAAATGCTAACAGTGCAGATCAGCAATTTAAAATAACGGCGCTTGGCAAATCCAGACCTTTATCTCTCTCTGTATTTTTTATGCAGAGTGTTATCAGAACCGAACGTGTGTGTGCAATCGGATTTGTTTTTTCAGTGATGCATGTGAAACAAAGGAGCACAAAACAAAATCACCTTTCTCTCCCTTCAAAGTTTACTGCTTCACCCACTGGTTCTGCAGAAATCTGTGTCAGTCCCTGTGTTACGTTTTTTCTCCTTTATTTTTTCCTCATAATCAGCCGTATTTGTTTTGATAAGAATGGACCATGCGTGTCTCTGACTGGCCAATCCATCTGTCAATCATGCCCACTTGAACTTAGGAAGATTCAGTGGGGACCAGACTCATATCTTTGTAGTATTTTATAGTAAGAAGTGTGTACATCAATTTTGTTTTTGTACTATGAATTGCAATCTATATATGGTTTACACTTGCTGGTATTATATTTTTACAGACTACATCTCAATTTTGCACTCAATCAATTCTCTGCATATTTTCTTCATTTTACCCAACCTTTATCCCAAACATACACAACCTGCATACCTTTGAATACCCTCCCATGCCTTGCTATAATCTAGCTGTTTTATCGTACAAGGCCATTTTAAATTGAAAATCCATTGGCCTGTGTGCATCCTGTGTCCTCTCTATAGCCCTGCCTTATCTCCCCAGCTGCCCATTAAAGTGTATGGCACTGCAGCGGGCTATAGCGTACATGGTTTAACCCTCTAATGTGCTGAGGTACCCACATTTTCTGCTGTTATCCGTGCTGGTGCCAGGTGGCAGGTCTGGGGGCATAGCTGTTCCGTGGCACTGCATTGGACAGGGATGAAATAGTGAATCAGAAAGGGGCTAATGGTGTGGAAAGAGGTCTGGGTGAGATACAAGGCTGTAGTGAGGGCACACAGGCAGAGCAACTGTGAATAACACTGTGGGAGGGGATCTCTCTACTACTGTAGTAGTAGCAGCTGTAGTAATTAGTTGTGGGTGGTATGCCAAAAAAAATCTACATTTTTTTTTGACCCAGATCACAATTTTGATGTAACCACGCTTCCTACATTTAGTATTTATATTGAAGAGGTGACTTTATTTAACCTTGCACTGCAACATGGATTCTCTTGATATTTATGAGTTCACAAACTCACTAGAATCCATCTTGGAGTGCCCGCTGTGCAGTTAATTGGATGGGCGACCAGGTGGGTGACCAAGCACTGAGGTTTATGCGGAAGCTAAAGGTGAAGCGTCCAAATGAACCAAAACAAACATACTATTTTAATGTCAATACAGACTATTTAGTTTGTGAAAAACATGCAGAAGTTAAGCTCCTTGTACTCTTGTGGACAGATGTCAGTACTTTTTTCTCAGCTGGATGTTCTGCTGTTGTGACGCTTCGAATAATCAGATTCAAATGTTCGTCACTTTTTCCAATTGCTTTCAGGGAGCGCCATCGATTGATAATGTGTAGAAGTCACTTCAGAGTGACACACATATCAATCTGGCATGAGTCAAGTGAATATATTGCTGCTCTTGGGAGGAAAATGAGACCACTCAGTGCTGATTGCATCCAAGTATTGTATTGACTGAGAAACAGGAAGTGCACT